GGGGAAACCCCCCCCCCCCCCCCCCCCCCTGCGGGAAGTCGCAGCGGTGGCTCAAATCGTGTGCGAAGCTTTACAGAAATGAGGGAGGACGAGGGCAGAATTTCGATGCAAAGCAAGAGGCCAATGGTGACGATTGTCTCCTTCTATTCCTCCGTTCCATCCGGAAAGAGCCGATGGTTTTATGTGATCAGGACCAGCTGGCATGGCGGAGAAGATTCAGTGCAGAGGTCGATAAGGAGAGACTCAAATTATACGCACAGCAGTATCCAGACGGGTTTTCTCCGACTAACGCAAATCGCTTCATTCCCTGTGGTTATATTTCAACAGGTACGTACGTCTTTCCGTGGTTGTGCGCATGCGTACCTTTTTCTTTGAAAAGAAGAAGCAGGGCGACGGAGACCGCCGGCGCTTTTGCGCAAGGAACGAGAACGATGCGCTGGAGTTAAGATGGGACGGCGTAGTAAGCTGACGGTGAGGAGGGTACCGCAAGAGGCGCAGAGATGACCCCCTCCCCCCCGGTGTTTGCCATCGGGGTTGGGTTTTCGTCGCTTGGCAACGACGTTGTAAAACAGGCCAATTCACTTCGTGAGCTCGGCAACCAGGTTACCGTTTTTTTTACCTCTGTTTTTCTTTTGCAGTAACNTCTGTCTTCCGTACCCAAGGAAGTAAGCACAAAATGCCGAACACCCTTAACAGGATGCAGCGCACAGCGCACCCTTCATGCGACTCGCCGAATATCTCACGGCGCTTCGCGCTTGGTGATGTGAGAGCCTGGTCCGGTGAGAACCCGGCGTGCTCCGTCCCGGCTTTGTAGGGATGCGAGGTCAATGGTCTAACGACTACGGCATGCATGACTATGAGTACACCCCCGCGTACACCCTTCAAGCGGGCCAAAGTGCGACCGTGCATAGCTCCGATCATGGTGGCAGGCGCCATTACCCCGCTACATACCTCAAGAGGCGGAGAGATGGCACCCCCCCCCAGACCGATTTTCAAAGCTCGATTGCTCCGCCACCAAGATTGTGCCAACAACTAAATTGGTGGGTGTTTGAAAATATCTCGTCGACGTATCGGGCCGTATCGGGCTCTTTCCACACCCTTGGCTGCAGAGCGATCGGGCTCTGAAATATCGGTCTACGGGAGGGGGGGGGNTAAGCACTGTGTAACTGCCTCCAGGGTGCTTGACCATATTTTAACACGACGTGGTGCGATCATCCCCCTTGCGCGAAGTGAGGTTTCTCCACCCCGCACAGCATGATCTACTCGACCACCATTATGGTTACCGCCAAAACAAAAAACAGAGGTGAAAAACAAACGGTAACCTGGTTGCCGAGCTCACGAAGTGAAGCGGCTTGTTTTACAACGTCGTTGCCAAGCGACGAAAACCCAATCCCGATGGCAAAACACCGATGGGGGGGCTTGTTTTACAACGTCGTTGCTAAGCGACGAAATGCAACCCCGATGGCAAACACCGGGCGGGGCGTAGCGGGCAATGGCGCCCGCCACCATGATCGGAGCTATTTACGGTCGCACTTCGGCCCGCTTGAAGAGTGTACACGGGGAGGCGGGGGGGGGGGGGGGG